AAGTCCCAATTACGTAAGACTTTCGTGATGACATTTTACAATTTATACGTAAAATACACATCTATTACGTAATGCTTCTGTAATGACTATTGTTTCTTACGTAATAATTAAATCAGAAGCGTTACATAAGACTTCCGTAATGATTTCACACTTTACGTAACGCAAGGTTAATATTCATTACGAAAAAGAAGCCTCAATTACGTAAGGCTTCCGTAATGACATTTTACAACTGTTACGTAAAATACACATCCATTACGTAAGTCTTTCGTAATGACAATTGTTTCTTACGTAACAGTTAAATCAGAAGCGTTACGTAAGGCTTCCGTAATGCCTTCATACTTTACGTAACATAAGGTTAATATTCATTACGGAAAAGAAGCCTCAATTACGTAAGGCTTCCGTAATGACATTTTACAACTGCTGCGTAAAATACACATCCATTACGTAAGCCTTCCGTAATGACAGTTATTTCTTACGTAACAGTTAAATCAGAAGCGTTGCGTAAGGCTTCCGTAATGCCTCAACACTTAACGTAACAGAGGACGTAAAAGGACCCTTCATTACATAAGGCTTCCGTAATAACAGTAATTTCTTATGTAACAGTTAAATTAGAAGCATTACGTAAGACTTCCGTAATTACTTATTATTTTACGTAACGCGAGATAAATATTCATTACTTAAAAGAAGCCTCCATTACGTAAGGCTTCCGTAATGATATTTTACAACTGTTACGTAAGCTATAAATACGTTACGTAATCATTACGTAATACCTATTGGATTTTATGTAATGCAGCCTCTGAAACCTGCTATAGTAGGTAAAAAAATCAAGTTACCTTAGGGGTCGTTTGGAAGTTGCGATAGTTTTGTTGAGATTGTCATTATGCATATATTGTTTACAATGCATCGTTTTTTTTTGTTTTTTTAGCAGAAACAATACATGAATTGTTTCTGTGATGTGACAGAAACTATCACTCATTTTGAGTGATTGTTATATCTCAACTTTTAGTTGTGATTGTTGAGATAGTTGAGTTGAGATTGTTTTGTCTCAGCTTTTAGCTGATGCGGCATACACAATCACACATACCAAACGTTGTATTCTACAATGCATCAAATTCGACAATACATGTATAATATTATACATGCATTCTCAACAATATATCTATTTAACGATCGCAACTTCCAAACGACCCCTTACTTCAAGGCATTGTAGGAATTCTCCACAACATATGATTCGTCCTTGCAATCTTCCATTCCGATGGGCTTTTGCTTGAACAGCCTGTTTGGAAAGGCTAAATTTTGAGGAAATGGAATTCAAATTCCCAAACTTTCCATGATTCTCATGTTTGGAAGTAAAAAGGAAATGAAATTCCAAAAGGTAAAAAGTTGAAAATTCTAAATCCTATCAAAAGTGGTCGGAATTGGTGGAGGAAGTGATGGAATTAGTGGACCCCACATTAATTTTGACTCATCTTTACAAGAAAGCCCTTACCACTTTAGGATTTGAAATCATTAATACCAAGGATATTATTGTAAAAGCACTTGTAAGAAATCATTTCCATTTTTTCCAAACATAAAAAGATGAAATCATTTCCCAAACTTTTGGATTTGTTCCAAACATAAAATTTTAAAATGAATTCCTACTTGAATTCAGATTCTCACAAGAAATGGAATTCATTTTCCAACAGAATTATATCCAAACAAGCTGGAAGGGGCGCATGCCCATAAATTATGCAAAATTTAATTTTGAACAATCTCTAAAAACTCAAGTTATTAGCATATTATTTCAGTAAAGTTAAATTCTTAGGTTCCCAAAATGATAAGTTAAAAAAATTATGAGTGTTTTAAATGAAGCAATCCCTCAAACCTCCAGTTATATAAACTAAATCTATACTAATAGCCACTGCAGGAGGGATTATTAGAGACAGTGTAGGTGATTGGAAAGGAGGCTTCTGCAACAAAATCGACACTGTTATGCGATTCTCGTGGAACTGTGGGGAATTCATCAAGGGTTGATCATGGCTCGGAATCAAGGTACTCAATTCCTTATTCTTAAGATAGATTTGAAGTTAGCTATCGACTTGATAAAGAATAGGGAGGATCCAGTCCATTCACACTCGACAATCTTGACAGCTATTCGACGACTCTTAGCTCAGAACTAGGTGATACAACTAGTTCATACGTATATAGAGGAGAATAGAGTCGCGAACTGACTCTCCAAGCACAATCTCATCTATCCATTCGGTACGCATAAACTAGCAAACCCGCCAAGTGAGTTGGGGGATTCTTACCGATGATACTTTGGGAGTGAGCTTTCTAGGATACTTATTCGGACTCAGGATTAATTTAGGGACTTCTGTTTCATTCCTAGCCTTATTTAATCCCGTTTGTAATTGATGGCGTCTGGTATAATAAATTAATAATGTCTCTTATCTTGCTAGTAGCGGCGACGACGTCGTATCTCCTGCTGATCACCGTCACCTCCTTGCCACCACCTACGTCGGCGGCGACAATATCCACCCTACGCCAATTCTCAGGTGGTCAATGGCTCGCCGGCGGTAGCTACCTAGGAGATGTAGCAATAAAAAGTTTTGCTCTCTCGTTGTCGATGTCATTCGGATTCGGTAATGGTAGTCCTGATTTGATAATAATGGTATACCATGACAAATGCAAGCAATTGAGAGCTTTTTTTTCTTTTATGAATAGCAATCGAGAGTTAGTGAACTGATGACATTGTTATCAGCCGGTCAAATTTATCAATCAATCATGACAGATCTGAAACAGGCAATGGCGGTCTAGGAGTGTGAGTATGTACAACAGCAATCGCCACGGAGAAGAAGATCAACAGACAAACAGCTAGTAGCAAAACGCAGCATCGTACAACCGTGTATATTCTCGTATCCAACTCAACTCCGTGAAGAGTCCAACCAGCAACTACCTGCAAATTGAGCAAAACATTCGATCTCAGTATGAATTATGCAACACCGATAAATCTATATGACAGTGTACAAGGCAAAGGTCATCTCTTTACAGAAATCACAATGCAGACTTTGGCTTGGACAGGAGATAACAGATATTCAGATTAGCAATAATACAATGCTTGTCCTCAGCAATTCTCTTCACCAAAACTAAGCTAGGATCGATCTTGTGAATAGTCATCAATAGTACATTAAGGGATGATCATGTAGAAGTTCACAATAGAAATAGAAGAGGATGCTATCAAGAACAACAAAGGTACTTGTCAATTCCAAACATTTGGACGTGGAAGCGATTCATCACAACAAACAGAGACAGAAGTGGAAGAAAATAAGCCCACTAATAGGTTTTCGGTTCAAGAAGCGATTTAGAACCAAATCATCAATGGTTTGCAAAGCTGCAGACCATCCGAGTTTCCTTCAGCTATATAAAGCGAGTTTGGTACTTGTTTGCTATATACAATCAAAATAGTTTAGCAAATACACAGAAGGGATACTGAAATCCCCCAGCTTCCCTAATCGGTGCAATGGGCATACTGAAACAACTAGAGACACACATATGACTGGTCTCTACTCTGCCACTAGGTCAAACTTTTATTTACCAGATGCTGGCTAACTAAATACAAGTACAAATCACAATGAGCAAGGATGAGATTGGTGGGGATTTATAGAAGTTCGAGAACTTTCTAATTGATAGCTAATTCAGACTCTCCAAAATAACAAATGGTTTCACACGAATTCATAACCTTTTTAGGCACAAACTTCTGAATACTTCCCACAATAGTAGTGCCATTGCTCATTCATCTAGGTTCTTCAGTTTCCTACTTCTCTAATGCTAAAACTTCTATGTAGAAATCAATACAACTTAATGTAGATAAAGAAGTCGAAGTTCAGACAAATTGTGGCATTTACTACAAAATTCCACTCAAAGTAGAAGAGGAGCAAGACGTCAGCGAAAGTTGCGAAACAGATACAACACCATCAAACATGATTATTTCACTGGGGGGTAATACAGTAAGAAGATCAGTTGCCATTGGTAGGTTCCATGATGTAAAAATATGCCAACACCTCTCCTTCTCAACAAACACCGAGTTCCCTCTTACCTACGCTCCAACAGAATAGCTGTTAAACATCATCCTCTTCATCTCACCCCTCACTTACCAGACTGAAAGATGTGTTTATCTCATCGGACTAGTGTCTCAACTTAATCTAAGAGCATCAGCAGAATTAAAGGACAAGATGATGCTTCAAAATGGAAGCAACAATCGACATGCTTGCAAGATCTCACTCCTAATAAGCAATCAGATTCAGAAGCCAATTCCTCCCTCTAAACTTCCAACAATGAAACAGATCTCCATAAAGGGACCCTTTAATGCAACAATCAAGAAGCAGGTTTCCTAACATAGTGGTAGAAAGATTACTACATCTCCCATGCTTTCCTATAAGAAACACTAAATCCCACTACGGCACTACCTAGCTCAACAAAACAAGAAGCGATGAGGAACGGGGAAAGTGAGGGAAGCGAACAAACCTAGGAAGACGCTCGCTCAATGTGCCTTCCTCCTCAGTGGATTTTTCTCAGTGGCTACTCTGTAAATCCAGTATACCTAATACCAAATGAAAGGCGAAATAATCAGAAGATCGAGCTCAAATTGCACCTTAGCCCACAAAAACAGTTGTAATGAGCGCAATTTCAGTTATCGAGAGGCTACCAGAGCGAGGACGTGCGCTGCTATTAGCACGACCACGATGAAAGGCACCAAATCGAGAAACCACGGCCGCGGCATCGAGTCCCTCGCCATTTCTTCCGGCAAGAACAACTGACGACGAGAGCAGAAATAAACAGATCAAGCGCTCGCCAATGAGTGATGTTAAATTGTTAACCCCTTGAAAAATCAGGGTTTTGCCCGAGCTCGCTCGCTTGCAAGAAAAGGAAACGACTCCACTCCTTCGATGCTTCCAACAGTACTACAGTGCTCCGTTGCAAAATGGAGCAGTTAGCAGAGGAAGAGAGATCTGGTGGGCAGAGTCGGGTCACTGAGCTCAGTGAAGGCTGGTTGGGTAATTTGTAGCTTTGGCCTTGTATTGTTGGGCCTCAATTAGGCCCAAGTTAAAACTACGTTTCCCCCAACGGCCAACGGTCGCTGTGAATTTGATCCAGTCCGTCGTCGGTCGCTGGCTCGGCGACAATATTGGAGCGCCGCGGGGTGTCGGCGAATATGACGTGGCGGTTTTCTGGCGCACTCTCAAATTACAAAGCAGCGATCAAAACGTATCCTGCAAGCACCACTGTTCTTCCTTCGTCTTCTTCATGCGCGAGCTCGCCTGTTAATGTGTAGAAACAGCTGGTTGGACGGCGCTTTTTTGCACAGGCATGCCCACAATCCTTCTGTGCGTGGCTTTTTCTTCCCGCTGAGCGTTGTTTGTTCTTTTGGGCATTTTCACGAACGGTTGTTGTGCGAAAAGATGCCGGGTGGTGGTTAGCGCGAGAAACTATTCTTCTTGTACTGGTTTCTTCTGCTGGATCTCGTAGCGCCAATGAGGAATGTGAGCGGAATTCTCAAGCGTCACGGCCGGATTGCGCTGCTTTCCCGCAGTAAGCAACTTGGCTTCGCTTTTTACTTACTGAGTGCGATAGGATTTTGTGATATTCCTTCTTCCAATCCTTTACTTTCATCTCTCGTTGTCGAAATATAGTTTCCCGTCCACAAGGATAGTGCCAATTTTAATCTGCTATCTTACAGTCTGCGGCCTGTGTTTTTTCTTGCAGTTTCTCGTTTTGAGAGTTCTGCATTGGCTCCTATTGGCAGTTCTAGTAGTGTTCTGGCACACGGGGGAATCATGGAGATTAACAATCGGGCATGCTCCCTTCAGCAAAGGCTGTGAGTAGTACCATTACCTCCATAGCTGTAGGAAACTATTGTTTATCTAGTGTAGAGCATATGAACGTAGGTTTAGTGTCCCAGTTTCGGGCATTGTGATGCTTCTGATCTTTGAGCCTAAAATGTCATTTTGTGCAGCTTCTCCACGACCTTCACCAGTGTACATGGCGAGAAGCCTTCTGGGAAGTATGCAAAGTTAAGGAAAGAGTCTCTCGAAAGTGAATTTGGACAGGCTCTTGGTATATACAGCTCCAGCAAGGCTTCTCACATCTATCGATTTGGTCCATTTCTGGCGATTTATAGAGCTGCAATCATCTCATATCATCTCTTCAAGTTAACCATTTGGCAACTTTTCGTCAAGGATATGAGAGAGCGTGCCATCATGGTATGAGCGTTCTTTCTTGGTTTTTAGTTTCAGTAGCTTAATCTTAGTTATATACTTGCCGAGTCAAAGCTTGTGTTTGCACTGGTGGTGGTGGTTTCAAAATTTCCCCCCTGTTCAGTTTGCTTGAAATGTTACATAAGAATTTTGCCTAGTAGTTATTTTTGTATGTTGTGTTTACATGAGTAGCACATTCCACACCAAATAGGCTTTCAGAAATTGAAGTCATAACTATACAGTATACACGCAAGTGCTTCTTGAATCACCAGAAAGTTCTTTTAGATTCGGATGAAGAGATGTGATGAGTCCATGCTTTTCTCTGTATGAAATGAGCACCTGGAAACCATTATATGATAGTGTATCCTTCGCATAGAGCCGACTCGTAGTGAAGCTTACATTTGTTCCATGGGCTGAGATAATAATTTTTACTAGGGTAAATACAATATATTATCCATAACTATTAAGTAGCGGGGAATTATAGCCACAACTATCGAAATACAAATTATTAGTCATAACTATTGTTGTGGGTCAAGATTTGGCTAACAGCTTGTTACTGTTTTCAAATTTTTAACGTAGAAAGCCATGTCAGCATCGTAAAAAATATGATATGATGACTGCCACGTGGGAGCCAGCTCACCATCGTAAAAGCTTAGTCATCATTACTAACGAAAGTGTTAACGAAAACTTAACGATTGGCTAATAATTTGTATTTCGATAGTTGTGGCTATAATTCCCCGCTGCTTAATAGTTATGGCTAATATATTGTATTTGCCCTTTTTACTAAGCATATCTGCTCTGCTATATAAGACTGAGGTTTGTTACATTGTCAAATGGAAAGAGTTGCAGAAAGTGCTTGCACAAAGATTTCAAAAGGTTTGGTAGCTTTAAGTGATGGAGACATCTGACATCAACTACTTTAATTCTCTTGTGTTGGATATTTTTTTGAGTTTGAATAACTGAGAGTTGAACCCTACTGCTTTCCCAAATTGATAATGAAATTATGCAATTTGTTGCAGTTTCGTGAGACTCTAGTCAGCTTGGGGCCTTTCTACATCAAGGCAAGTGGCTTATAGTTACTCTATCATTGACAGTGATGGTAGTGGTTGTCATCTTGCCTATATGTTATAAACTCGAGCATTTTGCATTGCTTGTCTGTCAACTCTAGCATTGTTTTGAATTGGAAAATGATATTATATGGAAAGCCATCAAGTCCTGTTTCATTTGCTAAATTCTTTCTAGTGTTATTTCCGTGATCAGAAATGTATGGTTTTGACGTTTTGTAGAGCATATGGTCTCAGCTTTGACACATGGTAATTGTACTCATTGAAATTTACAGCTTGGGCAAGCTCTAAGTACCAGGCCGGATGTATTGCCAACTATATACTGCCAGGAGCTTGCTAAGTTACAGGTACCCTACGTCTCTCTCTTGATATATCCTGCATATTGGATCTTATCACGGTTCGCTAAAGCCTATGAGTTCGTTCTCACAATTTATCTCCTTATCTTACCAGGATCAAATACCACCCTTTCCTACTAAAGTTGCAATTAGATCTATTGAGTCCCAGTTAGGCCGTCCTATTTCACAAATCTTTGCTGACATCAGTCCAGAACCTGTTGCTTCAGCATCGTTGGGCCAAGTGTATAAAGGTTAGTTAAGTATTCTACATGAAATGGACATAGTTGACTGAATAAACACAGTTCATTTTCCTCCTTATGCTGGTGTTACGGTGGGATGCTTCTCTAATGTACTCTGTATTCTGTGCTATCCCATGTCATAAGATCAGTAAGAGTTGGATCTGGCAGGAGTTAAATGTTTGAATTTATTGTTTCAAGTATTGCAGCGCATTTGCATTCCGGCGAGCTTGTTGCTGTCAAAGTGCAAAGGCCTGGGATATCACATTCATTAACACTTGATGCCCTGTTATTCAATATGATCGGGGGTCAGTTGAAGCGCTTTGCTAAGGCTCGCAAGGATCTACTGGTTGCTGTAAATGAGATGGTGAGCATTCCATAACTATATTCCACTGATTTGTAACTTGCACTGCTCTTTTTAGTGCACAATTAGTTAGAAATGTATGAAAATATGCTCAACCTACCCCTGTGGTACTGTGTCTGTTGTATCGTTACATCTTCTAGGAATTATCGTTAATCTATTACGACTGTAGGAATCTGGTGACAATCATACACTGTAAAGGAGTTTGTATGTAGTTTCACCTTTAAATAGCAAAAACAAGTCGGCTCCACAAAATTACTGGTGCTGCTCTATTTAGTAACAAAAACATGTACCTGTCCACCCTCCTCCGACTATGAGAACACCAAGATGGTTGCTTCCTGCGCCAAAACTTGCATATAGGCACAGCAAAGTAAATATTGATGCACATTTGTCCGCTTCAGTGTCTGCTATTAGCTTGCATTTCTCATCTGCATCACTATTTTCTAGGCTTCTTTACAACATAATTCTACATGCTTATGAACTTCTTCAGGTCTATTTTGGATGATCAGGTCAGGCACATGTTTGATGAGATTGACTACATTCTAGAGGCAAAAAATGCTGAACGTTTTGCTACTCTTTATGGTTGTGAAGCCTGTAAGTTCTTCAAATCTCGGGGAAGAAACATATCAAGAACTTTCATTATGTAAAGCATTTGTCATTCAACTCTGCTGTGGTAACAGTCTGGCATTAGATCTGGTCGTATAATTGTGGTTACTATGTTTGGTCAAGTAGTATTACTGGAAGACTTGAAAACAATTGATCATGCTATTCAGGCTCTCCAAACACACTAGGCTTTTTTTTTCTGTTTAGGGAGATTGGTTTCCGGGCTTTTGCAACGTTTTTGTTCAATTGACTACGCTTATCAATTGGAATTGCAAATTCAACTGCTCTTTCAATTATTTTTATTTTTTCTTGGTTGAAGGGTGACAGCTAGCTTCATTTGAGCTTGTAGGTGGTTTCATGAACATGTGCATAGTACTGTGTACTCAAATGCTGAACTCCACTTGCTTCAACATGATAAGAACTGTGTGACTATCACTCTTGCATCTATCATGTTTCCCTACGTGATGTTTTCTCCTATCAAATTGTTACAGCTACAACAGTTGTGGACGAGAATGAAAATTATGTTAAAGTTCCGAAAATATATTGGGACCTCACACGCAAAGCTGTTCTCACTATGGAATGGATAGATGGGATCAAGCTTACTAATGAAGCTCGCCTAAGCGAAGCTTGCTTGGACAGAAGAAAACTGATTGACCAGGTAAAGGGGTCAATGAGTCTGAGTTCTTTCTTTCTACTTCGAATATGTTTGGCCCAGTGAAACGGAAATTCTTCTACTAAATTATGTTTTGCAGGGATTGTACTGCTCACTAAGGCAATTGCTTGAAGTAGGATTTTTCCATGCTGACCCCCATCCAGGAAACCTTGTTGCTACTGACAGTGGCCATCTTGCTTATTTTGATTTTGGAATGATGGGAGATATTCCTCGTCCTTATCGTGTGGGACTTATTCAAGTGGTACTGCCTATTTAAAATTATGGTCGTTTTCCAATTTCATTTTTCTAATCATTTTGCATTACTGATTAGAAATTTTGTGGATAAATATGACGACGGACACCCTCTCTTTTGGCACCTTCCTTTTGATATGCAAGTAGCTACTACTTTTTTCTGTTTTTTTTTTCCCCTAGCCAAAATGTTGTTACAAAATGTGTCATGGTAGCTCCCGAATCTATTTGCATAGTTTGCAGGTATCCAAGTGAACTCTTCCTATTTCCTGACCTGAACTCTTTTTGCATCCATCTTTATTTTCTGCATCCTAACTTTCTCACCCCATACATGTCCTTGAATTAGCATGCAGCTTTGCATGTTTGTTTGGGCTTGTGTCAATATTAACATGGTTGTATCAGGGAAAGAGTTTTCTCCTTTGCTTCATTACAAAGCAACTTATCAATTTGGTTGTGGGTTGGCGATGATGAATGCGTGAATATCTTTTCCCTGACGAAACTGTTATAATGTTTTCTGCTCTACATGGAATTGAAGCACTTGTTGACAGTTTTGTATTTCTTTCAGCTCGTGCATTTTGTTAACCGTGACTCTCTGGGTTTGGCAAATGACTTCCTTTCTCTGGGATTTATTCCTGAAGGGGTTGACATAAGAGCAGTCGCTGATGCATTGCAAGTATCTTTTGGGGATGGTTCAAGACAATCAAGAGATTTTGAGGTCAGGACTAGTGGATGTATTACTATCCTGCCTTTTTCTTATAAAGAAGACGGAGATCTTATGATTTGCTAGAAAATTGACCCCCTCTTCAAAAGAACTCAACTGATTAGTCCTCTCTTGAGTTTCTCATTAAGTTGAGATCACCCAAGTTCTACAACTACCGCATTCAGGTTGCGTTTCATCATTTCTCGAGATATGTTATTGCGTTTGGAAATTGAAAGTGCACTTTAATGCTTGTGTTGATCTTCAGGCAATAATGAACCAACTATATGATGTTATGTACGACTTCAACTTCTCCCTTCCTCCCGACTATGCTCTCGTGATAAGGGCCCTTGGATCACTTGAAGGCACAGCAAAGGTACTGGATCCCAACTTCAAAGTTGTGGAGAGTGCATATCCTTTCGTTATTGGCAGGCTTTTGGCTGACCCAAATCCCGACATGCGGAGAATCTTGAGGCAGCTACTTATCTCCAACGATGGATCCATCAGATGGAATAGACTTGAACGCCTGGTAAACTATTTTAGCCTGTTAATATCTGCAACGATGGATCCATTCATTTCTACTTTGTGAAAAACTTGTGTCTTCACTCTTTAGAATTTAGATTGCAGCAATATCGCAAGAATCAGCTTCAGAGCCAACCGGTGAAGCTGCTAATTCTAAAGACGATTCTCCAAATACACTCGGATGGAAATCGTTTGATATGCGTGCTGTCGTCAGTGCAACAGAGGACCTTCTCCTCTTTGTTCTGTCACAGAGAGGATCAAGGGTGCGCGTTTTCCTCCTCAGGGATATGGTGAAAGCAGCCGACGCTTTCATACAAGACGAAGTAATAGGCCACATCTTTGACGACAACCCTCATCCTGATGATGTACAACAAGCATCAGGATCCGAGGTATTCCTCCTCGAGCCATTCTTAAGACGACGTCTCCTCGATTTCCTTTCTCTTTTTTAAACTAGATTTTGTGATCTTCCATGGCAGGAACACAAAATGGTAACAAGGGTGACGAATGGGTTTCGATATCTAGCTCGAGCAATGAAGATGGCTCCCGAGGTCTGGACAGCAATGCTTATACGAATGGCGATGAAGCCCGAGTTCCATCAATTCTCCGTCGACGCCGTGTCAGCATTTGTCATGCATTTTAACAGTAGAGTTCCAGAGACTTATTTTATCTGTGTATCTAGACTGCTACATAAGCTGGCTACAAAATCCATATACAGTGACTCCGTTAGATGAGAAAATGGAAATTTCTTGGTAAAGAGAAGAAGAGTAGTAGCCCTCCGTTAGATTTAGGAGACCGATCGTCTTGGTAATTGGTAATTGGTCGTTTGGAAGTTGCGATTGTTAAATAGATGTATTGTTGAGAATGCATGTATAATATTATACATGTATTGTCGAATTTGATGCATTGTAGAATACAACGTTTGGTATGTGTGATTGTGAATGTCGCATCAGCTAAAAGCTGAGACAAAACAATCTCAACTCAACTATCTCAACAATCACAACTAAAAGTTGAGATATAACAATCACTCAAAATGAGTGATAGTTTCTGTCACATCACAGAAACAATCCATGTATTGTTTCTGCTAAAAAAGCAAAAAAAACGATTCATTGTAAACAATACATGCATAATGACAATCTCAACAAAACTATCGCAACTTCCAAACGACTCCTTAAGCCCCGCTTTGGTACGGAAAATGAATTGTCAAACATCTGCTGGTTTGGGACGCAAAATAAATAATTTAATAAACGAAATAAATACCCTCTGGTTTTGGTTTGGTCGGTGGCGTGGTGGTTTTAATATTCAGCCGGCAGCGGGAGCAGAGCCACGGGTCTTCTCTTCCCCCCGTTGCGTTTGTCAAGCTTCGTTTTCGAGATCTCAGAATATATTTTAAGCTCATTTCATTGGTTCAGAATCTGACTCTCTGCATCAAAGCAAGCCTGCCGGAATTAATCCATCCTTATCCATGTGTTTATGCTGATTAGATATCAGAATTCGGCAGATCGGATTGCTACCCCAATACTCATAAACTTTTTACGGTAAGTCTGAGTAATTTATTATCAAGCATGCTTTGATAGCTATCTCAATTCATTAATTACAAAAAAAAAGTGTTTGAACCTAACTGAGTGTAGGAGTGAGGTTCGTGTGAGAGTTCGGGTCAAGAAGGAACGCTAGGATCAGGTTTAATTGAAGGAATAAGAACTGACGAGTCGAGTGAGGAATCAAGGTTCGAACTTTTAGAAAGAGAAGTAGTTGCTATGGAGAGAGAATGGTGCAAAAATGCGATCCCCTCACCCACCAGAGTAAATGCCATATTTATAGGCTACATGGTGGTGGGTGAGTGGGTGGACTTCGAGACGGTACAACGACGTGACTGCTGATGTGTCAGGGATTTAGGCCATCCCCTAACCTAGGACCTGTCAGAGGGTTGTCCATGATTCGTACTCAAAAGTCTTGACGTGACCTTCCCTCGGGAGACACAACGACGCCCTCTCCGGCTCTTGAGTCTGGTTGCCGCCTTGTCTTCCATTCGCGCGCATAGACTCACTCTTGCCGCGCGCAAGGTCTCGACGCTGTCGGACGTGTCGCGCCGTGTTTGTCGTGGCGTGCGGTTTGGCGTGCTTCTTTGGCGCGGGAGTGATCCGAGTCACATGCCCAACAATTGCCCCCCACAGGGGGTGTTTCTCGAACGCCTCCTGTTGTGGTTTCCGCTCTGCTGACTCGGATCCACGTGCTTCGCGATGATTCGGCCGGCTAGGTCTCGTGCGCTCTACTATGTTGAGGCTCTCCTGTTCGTTGCGGGGTAAGGCGCGGTTGTTTTGCGTGCGCGATCTACCCGGGGTATCTTGCGGGCCCTTTGTGTGCGCGGCTGCTTGGCGTGCGCGATCTTCATGGAGGATCTTGCGGTCATCTCATGTGCGCAATTTCCGGGAGGCTTTCTTCGGGCGTTTTTTTGGGGGTGGGGTTTTTCCCTTTTGCGGGTGTGTCATGCCCCCCAGGCGTTGCGCGTCACTAGTGACGTCGACGGCTAGTGCCTGTGCTCGTTATGATTGTTCGGGATTGGAGTCTGCCACGTGGCACCGTGCGATTGGTTAGCTCTGGCGGCCTTTTGAATTTCGAAATCCTCTGACGGTTACGATTTTCGATGACCTTTAACCCCTTCGACTTCCCATCATCACCTATAAATATACGGCTGCTCTTGAGATTTCCTTCCATCTTTCCTTCTTCGTACTTTACTCTCTAGTTTCTCCATCTCTCTGTTTCGAGGATTCCTCTTCTTCTTCCACAACCTCAAGTCTTTCGTTTGCTACTGCTACTCAAGGAATTGCCATGGATAGCACCAACATCAATGAGACCGAGGTCGTGCAGGGCGAAGAAGGTAATCCTCTTTCTTTCTCACCTACTTCTACTCGACTTGAGTCGAACCCGGCCGATTCCGGCAACGGGGACGGCGGGGACGACGGTGGTGTTAGCAACGACAACGATGCTAGTGACGACGATGGTGCTTCGGCGTCGCCGTCGGGCGACGTCGATTCCGGTCGGGGCTTTCAGGAGTCTTCCAACGCCGATGTGGTTCCGTCGGGTAGTGGGGCGGCGGGCTCTAGTGGGGTCCTGATAATCCGTCGCACTCATGACGGAAGATCTGGCGGGGCGACCTCTGAGGTGCGCGATGGGTCGGAAACGCAATCGGAGCCCCTTTACCAAGTCCGCGTGACAGAAGCAGTGAGCCGGCTAGGGTTCCAAGGCGTGGGCGCGGTTTATACTGTCATAGATTGGGCCGAGATGTGGGGCGATCAGCCGGCCCCACATGATAATCTACTCCGCGGTCCCGACCACGCATCAATTTACGGGCGCGAGGATGTGGAGGAGATTGTGCGCGGGTTGGGATTGCCCCCCAGCTGGCAGTACGCCGTACCGTCTGTGCGCAGCATGGTTGGGAACTGCCCCCCGGGCTGGTTTGGCGTTTACACAGAGTATTGGGTGATGGGATTCAAATTTCCCATCGACCCACTGCTGTGCGCCTTGTACGAGAAGCTCAACTGTTCAATCGCGCGGCTCTCTCCTTCTGTTATTATGCACGCCAGTTGCCTCCGGACGGCGTGCAAGCGGCTCAAGATTACACCCACTTATGGGTTGTTCAGGAAATTTTACAAGATCAAGGAGCCCACCAAGACAAGTGATTGTCTTTCCATCAAGCGGCGTGACAACAGGCCTGACGGCTTTGTGTACGGCTCGCCTAAGCTTAAGAAAACTTGGTTCGAGCGCTTCTTTTATGTGAAGCCCACGCCCGGGGAGTGGGCGAGCGCGTATGTTGCGGAGCCAACCACTTGGATGAAGGGTGGCACGCATGCGTACGAGTCAGAGCTGGGCAAGTACCCTGGGCTTGATCAGGAGTATGAGGCATGCCTGCTTCAGAAGTTTGACCTACATTCGGCTGGGGTCCGCGAGGCTTGCTTGGCCGAATTGTTTGCCGATGGTTAGTTGCGTCCCTTTCGTTTTGTATTCTTTCTTATTAACCGCCCTCTTAACATTTATTGGCGCAGGTGTTGATTTTTCCAGCTTGGCGAGCATGATGTCTGTCGATGAAGTCATCAAGGTTCCTCGCGGTGGGAGGAAGAGGACGAGGGAAGGTAAGCAGGCTGCTTCGGAGAGGGGCGGGAAGAGGAAGACGGCGGAGCAGCCGTCTATTACTGAGAAGGCACCGAAGACGGTGCGCATTGTAGAGCCAGTTGCGCATACCGCGCCGGCGACGACGCGCGTGCCTTTGGCGATTGCGGAGCAAATTCCGCGCACGGCCAGCACCGCTCGTCCCGATAGAGGAGGTGCCGGTAGCTCATCTGGAGCTGGAGTCCAGCAACAGCTGCCGCAGATGGCCGGGGGGGCCATCGACTACTTCCGCGATGTGCGGTTGCATACGGGCGCCGCGTGTAACGTTGCGTCAGCGAACGTTGCGCTGCGGGCCGTGGGTCCCCTTTTGGGCATCCCGTCCCGTATGGAAAAGTCTGATCCGCTCATGGACCTGGCTCAGATCCATTTCGCGGTAAGACATCCTGCGGGGTCTGAACTACTATGTTTTTTTTTCTTTTCATCAGAAATTTTGCTAAGTGTTATCGCGTTATATTTGTAGGGCTTGCTGGCGACTTTCCGCGCTCAACAGGAGCGGGGGCGCGAGCGCGCGAAGTTGAGATCCGAAGAATCTCGGATTGAGCAGTTGGAGGGGAAGCTTGCTGGCGCTGAAGGACGCGCGGAGTTGGCCACGACAAAAGCCAATGACGCGCTGGTGGAGCTCGGCGTCCTGCAGAGTAAGTTGGCGGATCAGTTGGACACCGCACGAGAGCGCGCCCGGGCTGAGTTGCGGGCGGAGTTTGAGGTGGAGCGGAAGCGTCTGCTGGATGAGAAGGAGAAGGAGAAGAAGGAGTTGGTGTCCGACGCCGCGGACAAGTTGAAGCGGGCTCGGGATGAATTTGAGAAGGAGAAGAAAGACCTGGTGCGCCTTCATGACGTAGCTAAGGCGGAGGCGGTTCGTGAAGCGCAGGCTGTTGCCGTCCGTCAGTACAAGTCTTCCTTGTCGTTCGGGAAGGTCATTGCTGACGCGATGACTAAGGCTGTGATGGCTGTTGGGAAGAAGGTGCGCCCGGAGAATCCTGGTTACCAGTGGGATACTCGTGCCATGGTCGCACATGTGAAGACGTGGCTGAACGAGAAAAGGCCGTTGGAGTCGGATTCAGAGTCGGAGGAGGAGGAGGAAGAAGAAGAAGAAGAAGGAGAAGGGCGTCAGGATGAAGAGCAGCAGCAGCAGGATCAGGATAAAGAGAAGGTTGAGGGCGCCGGCGGTGGCGGGAAGAAGGATGGCGGGTCAAGTTCTGATGAGGAGGATTCCCAACCTCTGGTGCGCCGTAAGACAGGCCTGATGGGTGCGCAGAAGAATGTTAGTGGTGCTCAGGCGGACTAAGTGTAGTCGCGCTTTTCTTTTATTTTTTTTTTTTTTGTTTTGACTTTATCCTTTCCGCCATCAGTTGTTTTTTCTTTTTATGTAGCCGCTCGCTTTGAACACTTGTGGTGCTCCCGACTTATAAAATCCAAAAAATCTATCTTTTATGGCGTTCAATCGCTAGTGTGCATATTTGTTCGTGCGTGTCTGTTTTGTCTTGATGAGTGGCGCGATGGCGCGGTACCAAGGATCTGAATGGGTACGAATAGCGCTGGACTATTGTTAAGGTTTGTTCTTTCGAACTGATTGGGCGCAAATAGTGCTGGACTATTGCTAAGTTTTGTTCCGTAGAACCAAGCGCAGATAGTACTGGACTATTGCTAATTTTTTGTTCTTTTCGAACTGATTGGGCGCGAATAGTGCTGGACTATTGCTAAGTTTTGTTCCGTAGAACCAAGCGCAGATAGTACTAGACTATTGCTAATTTTTTGTTCTTTCGAACTGAATGGGCGCGAATAGTGCTGGACTATTGCTA